TGAGGATGAGGAATCGAATGAGGTTGCTGCTGATGATGATGATGATGATGGTGATGATGATGATGATGATGATGATGATGATGGTGATCGTGATGCTGCTGCTGATGATGATGCTGATGCTGATGCTGCTGCTGCTGATGATGACTACGATTGTGTTTGTGATCGTGATGATGCTGACGCTGATGCTGCTGATAATGATGCTGATGCTGTTGTTTCTGATGATGCTGCTGATGATTATAATCATGAAGGCGACGACAACGAAGACGACGATTATGATGATGCTTATACGGATGCTGAAGATGACGATGTTGATGATGCTGCTGATGATGATGATGATGATGGTGGTGGTGGTGATGGTACTGATGATATTGATGATGAGGATGGGGATGTCGATGACGACGGCGACGATTATGATGAGGATGGCGATGACACTGACGATGACGATGATGATGATGTGAAGATGGCAACGATGATGATGCTGCTGATAATGACGATGATGATTATGCTGCTGCTGATGATGAGGAGGATCATGACTATCATGATGACGGCGATGACGATGCCGTCGACGGCGACGATGATGACGATGATGATCATAGCGGTGATGATGCTGATGACGATACTGACGATGATGATGATGACAATGATGATGACGATTACGATGATGCTGATGACGTTGATGCTGACGCTGATGCTGATGAGGATGACGATGTGATGATGACGACGATGACGACGATGACGACGGCGATGATGATGGTGATGATCATGATGCTGATGATGATGGTGATGCTGATGATGCTGCTGATGATGACGATGATGCTAGTCGTGGTGGTTGTGGTGGTGGTGGTGGTGATGAGGATGATGATGCTGATGCTTCTGCTGCTGATGATCATGCTGATGATGATTCTGCTGCTGCTGATAACGATGCTGATGATGCTGATGATGATGATGATGATTCTGCTGCGGCTGCTAATGATTATATTGACGCTGATGATTGTGATGATGCTGATGAGGAGGAAGATGATACGGGGGAAGTGGAGCGGGATGATGATGATGATGATAATGATGATGAAGATGATGATGAGGATGAGGGTGATTGTACTAATGATGATTATGATGATGATTATGCTGATGGTTATGATGATGGTGGCGACGATGCTTGTGCTGATGGTGATAACGATGATGATGATGATGATGATGATGATGATGATGATGATGATGATGATGATGATGATTATTATGATGCTGATGATGATGATGCTGATGGTGTGGTGTGCTGGTAAATGATTGCTGTTGCTTGATGCTGTGACGTTGATGGTGATGATGGTGATGTTGCTGGTGATGGTGATGGTGATGGTGATGATGATGATGATGCTGATGATGGTGATGGAGATGAGGATGATGATGATGATGATGATGATGATGATGATGATTGTGCTGATGATGATGATGATGCTGATTCTGATGCTGATGGTGATGCTGATGATGAGGATGATGATGATGATGGCGGTGGTGATGCTGATGCTGATGATGATGATAATGGTGGTGATGATGACGATCATGATGATGATGATGCTGCTCCCGATGGTGATGGTGCTAATGCTGATGCTGATGCTGATGCTGATGCTGATGCTGATGATGATGATGATGATGATGATGATGCTGATGCTGATGCTGTTGATGGTGATGATGATGATGATGCTGCTGCTGCTGATGATGATGATGAGGAGGAGGAGGAGGAGGAGGAGGAGGAGGAGGAGGAGGAGGAGGAGGAGGAGAAGCGGGAGACCCTTCCTAGAGGCCGCGGAGGGCGGTGGAAGGCGTGAGGGCTCAGGAGGTCGGGCGTTACAGTCGAACCCCTTCTAGCTGAATCGTCGAGCCCCTGGTACAGTAAAGCTTGACAGTAAGGATGATAGATTTCCTAAGGGTATCCTTGCATCCTTGCCTCTTCGGTCATCTTCGGTTCATCCTCAAACACTTTCGATGGCCAGCGCCGCTCGAAGAGCCTCGGCATGGGCTTCCAAGGCCCTCGCATCCTTACCGCGCACCCTTATTATATGGGTTCACTGTGTCAGTCGTCGCAGTGGTTTGGTCCCTGTCGGGCTCACGGCGGAGAGGGCGAGGGCCCTCGGATTCCGGGCCCGCGAGCGGGCCAAATGCCGTGGTGTGGTGGTTCCCGAGGAGCTGCTGCCCGAGGGGCCCTGACGGGCCCTGCGTCCGCTTTGTTTGGCTGCTGTCCGACGCCCCTCTCGCGTCCCTAGACGTGCTCGCGTCGTAAAAAGATCAGGACGGGAGGTTTTTGGCCGATTTCGGCTTCGGGGGGCCCTCGCCGGGCCTCGGGACCGTCGAAAAACGATTCAGGACGGAAAACCGGCCCCGGCGACCGGGTCGAGACTTCCAGGACTTCCAGGGACCCCGTATGGAAAAACTCAGGACGTCGCACGTCTAGGTCCAGGCCCCCCCATCGTTTCGTGCACGTAGCGGGTTAGCACCCGAACCGCTCCAGAGCCAGCGAGACGGAGGAGGCGTCGACGACGACGGCGACGACGACGGTGCCTTGGAGCCCTGGAGTTGTGGACGACGATCAATGGAGAGGAAGCATGTTGCCAAATAATTTCCAGATGTCTACACATGATTGAAATATGTTTTAAATCTGCAAAAACGTGGTTTGAGAACATGTTTCAAACATTTTGAACACATGTTTCATTCAATGACAGGAGCGTCAGGGTGTCCATTGTCATCGCCGCCGCGGGGGTCTGGCGCCGACCCGAGAAATCCGCGCGGATCTACGGGTTTTCGTGTTCGTGTCGTTGTTCGTTCCCTATAGCGTCGACGACGAGAAGACGACGGTAACGACGACGGTGCCTTGGAGCCCCGGAGGCGACCAGGGACATAGAGAAGGGTGAGGAGCTCTGCATCGCACGGGCTGGCGCCCGCCCGCGCCCTGCCCGCCTGCTCACCCCTCCTCCTGCTCCCCCCTTTGGGCCTCTCCTCCTCACTCTCCACTCCCCCTCACTCCCACCTACTCCCATCCAAACCCACAACCACAACACCCCCACCCCCCCCCCCCCCCCCCTCCTCCCCCCCCCCCCCCCCCCCCCCCCCCCTCCCCTTCCTCCTCCTCCTCCTCCTACCCCCTCTTAATCCTCCTCCTCCTCTTCCTCTCCTCATCATCGTTCTCCTCCTCCTCTTCCTATTCCTCTTCCTCTTCCTCTTCCTCCTATCCTCTTCCTCCTCCTCATCATCGTCTTCTACTCCTCCTCCTCTCCTCATCATCATAATCATCTTCATCATCATCATCATCATCATCATCATCATCATCATCATCATCATCATCATCATCATCATCATCATCATCATCATCATCATCATCATCATTATCATCATCTTCTCATCATCAACATCATCATCATCATCATCATCATCATCATCATCATCATCATCATCATCATCATCATCATCATCATCATCATCATCATCATCATTCATCATCATTCATCATGAGCATCATCACCATCATCATAACGATCGTCCTCACCATCATCATCACCATCATCATCATCAGCAGCAGCATCATCATCATCAGCATCATCATCATCAGCATCTTCATCCTCCTCCTCCTCCTCCCTCTCCTCCTCCTCCTGCCTTCCTCCTCCTCCTCCTCCTTCTCCTGCCCGGAGGCCCAGACCCAGACATGCGACGTCTTGATTTTTTCTGTGCGGGGTCCCCTGGAAGTCTAAGTTCCGACCCGTTCCCCAGGGCCGGTTTCTCGTCCCGAGTCGACTTCTGACGCTCCCGAGGCCCGGCGAGGGCCCCCCCGAGGCCGAAAATGGCCAAGAACCGCCCGGGGAGTGGGGGGAGTAGGGGAGAGGGGGGCACTCATCGGCGACGCGGGGGGGAGTAGGGGAGAGGGAGTAGGGGAGAGGGAGTAGGGGAGAGGGGGGAGGGGAGAGGAGTAGGGGAGTAGGGGGAGGGAGTAGGGGAGAGGAGTAGGGGAGTAGGGGAGAGGGAGTAGGGGAGAGGGGGGGGGAAGTGCGAGGGGGCGGGCCTCCTCCAGAAGGCTCGGGAGCTCCCCGGCCTTCCGAGGAGTGCTCCACAGAGGAGGCCCATGCCAAGAAGCACCCTGCTTGCCTCCAGGGTGCCCCTGGGTTTCTGTGGCCTCGATGGTTTTGCCATGGAAATCGTGACGCTTCCGCACCGACAATCAGTGGACGTCCTGGGGTCTCAGGGTTGGGTTTCTGATGGAAGGTTTCGTGCGGACTGGCTTCCACTGTGAGCCTTCCCCGAAGACACAGAACACTCCTGAGAAGGCCGGAGGGCTTCTGAGAAGCTCCGCCGTGCCGCCCTCTGAGAGGGCCTTCTCCTTCTCACTTCCCCCCCTCGCTCGCCGCCAAAGTGAGGGAGGAGATTCCGAAGGTCTTCAGAGCTTCCTGGTGCCTTTGAACCTGTCCAAGAATGCTTCCGGCGCCCCCTCTCTCTGGCCGGCGGGGCCGCCGCGGATCACCTACCTCACGCCCTCGCTGCTGTGCAACCCGCTCTTCGTGAGGCCCCAGCCGCCGTCGAAGCGCCATCGCCTGCGCCCTCGCCGTTGCCGCCGTGGTCGACGTCGTCGTGGCCGCCGTCGGTGGCGGTGATGGTCGTCGTCATCGTGGCCGCTGCCGCCGTCGCCGTCGTGGTGGTCGTCGTGACTGTGGTCCTGGTCGTCGTCACGCCCTCGCAGCCGTGCTGGCACGCCTTGCGTGCGGCGCTGCGGCCGAGGAGCGCGGAGGAGCGCCCTCTCTCCTGCTGAGCTCTCCCCCTCTGCTGCCTTCCTTCTCCTCCTGCATCCTCCTCCTCCTCCTCCTCCTCCTCCTTCTCCTCCTCCTCCCTCCTCCCGTCCTCCCGTTCCCCTCCCCTCCGCAGCCTTCACGGCGCAGGGGCAGGGCTTCGCGCGTGCCGCGGCCACGCCGCGCACCTCCGCGAGCGGCCTGGCGTCGGCTTCCGCGGCCCCCCGCGCGCCGCCAATGCCCGTTCACGATGCCGATGCGCTGGCAGCGCAGGGGGCCGCGCTGGAGCTCTGCGAGGAGCGGGCGGCGGACTGCGAGGAGCGCGTCCAGGCCGAGCAGCTCGCCGCGCAGAGCCGGCGGCTGGAGCAGCTGCGGCGGTCGGACTTTCATCACCGACTGCGCATGCGTGCACCGATCCTGGCCAGGCCACCCGTCGGAGGAGGACAGGGTACCGATACCGCTCCTCTTCCTCTTCTTCCTCCTCCTCCTCCTCCTCCTCCTCCTCCTCCTCTTCCTTCTCCTCCTCCTCCTCCTCCTCCTCCTCCTCATCCTCCTTCTCCTCGTTCTTCTTCTCCTACCCTTGCCTCGTTTTCCCCTTGTGTGGTCTCCTGGGAGGCTCTCGTGGCCACCGCTGGCTTCGCCCGGAAGTCCTGGTCAGAGCGCACCCCAGGGGGAGGTTCCAGGAGCAGCGGCATCGGTACCTCGCCTAGACATGCGACGTCCTGATGTCTTCAGTGCGGGGTCCCCGGAAGTCCCGACCCGTTCCCCGGGGCCGGTTTTTCATCCTGTGTCGGCTTTTGACGGTCCCGAGGCCTGGCGAGGGCCCCCCCCAGGCCGACAGTAGCCCCAAACCTCCCCTCTTCGGACCGTTCCCTGGGACGGTTTTTCATCCTGCGTTGTTTTTTGACGGTCCCGAGGCCCGGCGAGGGCCCCCCGAGGCCGACAATAGCCCCAAACCTCCCCTCGTCGGATTTTTGTCGCGACTCGATCGCGTCTCGGTTTCCCCGGGACCGGGCCCAGCCTCGGCGCTCGTGCCCCTCCCGGGCCATGCCGGGGAAAGGGGGGGGGGGAGGGGCGTGGCGTGAAGTCGGGCCTGTCCCTCTACGGGAGGAATGTTCAAACATAGTCAAAAAATAGTCTGGGGACGATTGGTGGAACACTTTTTGACCATTTTGGGGTGGTGTTGGGGTGCTCTTCATTTTTCCAGCCAGGACCCCCCTGCAGGGGGGACATGCCCGACCTGAGCGTGGCGTTCTGCAGGCCGATCCCTGGGCCGCGCGTGGGGCTGCAGCGCTCAGACGCCCGCCCGGGGTGCGACCGTTTTCTCTCCGCCCGCGGCCCCCCGGGGCTCTCTCGGCCCTTGCCCGGGGCGCCAGAGGTCCAGCACGTAGGTCACCACCCGCCAAGCCACCCCGGCCCGACCCGAAGGCCCAAATTTTTCCTCGATTTCAAATGGGGGGGGGGGTCGGGGAACACTGAAAAATCGCATGGGATCCGTACCCCCCCGACCCGAAATTCGGGTCAAGTTCGGGTCTTCGGGTTGGCTTTGGGGTGGTCTGGTGGGTGGTCAGTATGGAAGACAGCTGGACGGAGGCTTCTCGCAGCTCTCGGCCTCGGGGGGCCCTCGCCGGGCCTCGGGGCCGTCAAGAGCAGACTCGGGACTGAACACCGGTCCCTGGGAATGGGTCGAGACTTCCGGGGACCACGCGTGGGCAAAATCACGACATCGGATCTCTGGGGCCTCCAGGGAGTAGTTTTCCGTCCCTGGGTCCGTTTCTGATGGCCCTGGGGCCCGACCATGGGGCCAGGAGGCCGGGAGGGGAGCGAAGATGCCGGGACTGCACATGACGTGCCGTCGGAGGGAGGTCCGGGGAATGAGTTGCCTGTCCCCCAGGCGGGTCGAGGCGGTGGACGCATCGCTGGGCGCCGTCGAGGATGGGTGGGCCAGAGGATGCCGATACCGCCTCCGCTGCTCCCTGGACCTCTCCTTGGGTGCGTTTTGACCAGGGCTTCGAGGCGAGTCCAGCCGTGGCGATTGGCCTCCCAGAAGGCCCAAGAGGGCGGAACCCATGCCCTCTTCCTCTTGTCGAGGGGCAGCGGTGTCGAGGCCTCCACAGGCGCTGGCGAGGGGTAGCAGCGTCGATGCCTTTTCAGCTCCGCGAGGAGCCGCCCTGGCACCGAGCGCAGGGGCCCTGCGCTTCTTGCCTCGCCCCTGTCGCCTCGTCGTTCGCTCCCCCCTCTGTGCTCGTGTCCCTGGTCGCCGTTGTCCTCCGAGTCCAGTGGGCCAGCGCGGGGTTACCCCTGTGCCGCTCCTGGTGCTGCCTGTCGCGAGCAGGGGCTTCGGGAGCAGAGGCGTTGGGTGCTTCTGCAGGTCGTCGTTTTCTTGCTCATTGTGTTGCCGATCGGCGCCCCCCGTGGAGTAGATCTTGGCTGTTTCTGGCGCTTCTTTCGAGCAGGCGGAGTCTCCCCCATAGGACGCACTGTTGCAAACAGTCTCACTAAGCAGAGGTCCTGAGCCAGACCCCCCCCATCCCCCCCTCCTTCCTCAAGGGAAGAAAACCACCCAGATCCGACAATTGGCGGTTACTAAACGGCCTTGGGCGTTGGCTCAACAGCTCCTGCCCTGCTCGATTCCTCCTTTGGGCGCGTTTGCTGAACGGCCTCGCTCGTCGGGGTGTTCTTCTCGGGGTGGATTTTCTGCCCTCTGAGGCTCCCCCCCGCTCCTCCCCCCCCCCCCCTTCGCCCGACACAGAGCCCCCCTCTCCTTCTCCCCCCCCCCCTTCCGCCCGACACAGAAACGCCCTCTGAGGCTCCCCCCCCCCCTCTCCTTCCCCCCCCCCCCCTCCGCCCGACACGGAAACGCCGACGGAGCAAACGCCCACCCAGCGCGGCCTGCGATCTGCGCCGTGCGGGCGGCCTCGCGGCGGAGAGAGAGAGCGCCGCCCGAGGCCCTCGCCCGCTCTGCCTGGGGGGGGCGTGGCCGCGCGGCCCGGGCCGCACCTCCCCCCCCCGCCGTTGGCACGGCGACGCCCAGACGCGCCCGGCGGGGCTCCGACGCCCGCGGGGCGGTGGGGGCCCTGGAGGCCCAGTGGAGGGCACTGGCTATTCACCAGCACCGATCCTGGCCCAGGATCACCCTGGGCCCATGATCGGTGTATATGCCTTCCTAGCCCAAGGCAGGAGGGCGTATACACCGATCCTGGGCCCATGGTGATCCTGGCCAGGATCGGTGTCGGTGTATAGTGGGTGCCTTCCTAGCCCAGGGTCGAGTCGGGCCTGCCCCTCTGCGGGAGGAGCAGCTCCACAAGGAGTCGAAGCACATTCTACCATCTGGGGACGATCTCTGTGACTCTTCTCGATTTTTTTTTTTTTTTGGGGGGGGGAGGGGGGGGCTGTGGCTCATTGTTCGTTTTAAATCCGCCTGTAGGGGGACATGCCCGACCTGAGCCTAGAGACGCTTCCCCGAGGCCGGTCTCTCCTCCCGAGTCGTTTTCTTTGACGGTCCTGGGGTCCGCCGAATCGGAGGTTCAAAGATGGAGTCCTGAGGCTTGGGGTCCCAAGGATAGGAAGGGATCCAAATGTGAATTCACATTGTCTGAGGAACCTCGTCCTCAAGACCCCATCCCTCAGGACCCCGTCTTTGAACCACCGATTGAAGGATCCTGGAGGCCGACAGCGGCAACAGACTGGCCGCTCCGAGTCTGCTGGAGCTTCCGACCTCTGGTCGGCGGCGAGCGGGCGGGGGAAGCGAGAAGGCGAAGGCCTTCTCAGAGGGCGGCGGGGCTTCTCGGAAGGCCCCCGGCCTTCGGGGAGGCTTCTTGTGCGTCTCCGGGGAGGGCTCAGAGAGCTTGTCTCTCAGACGGCCGGGGGGGCCTTCGGAGCCTTTTGGCGAAGGCCTTCTCCTTGTCCCTTTCCCCCAACACCCTTCGGAGTCGCCGAGAGTCGTGGAGGACAGAAGGGCCCCTAAGCCTTCTGCTAGTGACGCGATGAAGGCATGGCCTCACTGAGGTCCCCGCCCTCGCATTAGGGATGATCGAAATCTGGGCGGTCTGGCCTGGTACACCTGCAGGCAGGACCCCCTCTTAACCCGGACATGCGACGTCCTGATTTTTTCAGATCGGGGCCCCCGGAAGTCCCGACCCTTTCGCCAGGCCCCGTTTTTCACCCCGTGCCGTTTCTTGACGGTCCCGAGGCCCGGCAAGGGCCCCCCCCCGGAGGCCGAGCACGGTCGAAGACCTTCCCTCCTGATCTGTTGCTTTTGTTTGGATTTTTGTGTTGTTCTTTCTTGCTTACAGTGCCGTTTTTACTACAAGCTCCGCGCGCGGAGTATGTATAACAAATGCAGGGTTTAGTAGTAAAAACAGCGATGAGTTCATGCATACATTTATTCATACATCGATCATGTATAAAGAAACCATAGTTTTAAAAATCCCGTGTATTAAAAAACAACTGCCCTGTACGACGCGACCATGTCTGGGAGTGTCTCTGGCCCTCCTAACTCTCAGGTCCCCTCCCAAAGAGGGTCAGGGCCTTCTTCTTTGTGGGGGCTCATCCGGGAGGAGGCGCTGAGGGCCAGCGTCGCTGGCTGGGCGCTCGTGCGGGCCCAGCTGCGGCAGCGACGGGCCGCGGCGGCCGGGGCCTCGCCGGGCCGGGGGGCGCCCGCGGCGGCCGGCGCCGGCGGGGCCGAGGCCGAGGGTTATAAGTTTGGCATGTCCTTCTACAGAAGGCATAATTTAAAAGAAGTTGAGACACATATTATTTCTGGTTTATTTTTGGATACTTTTGGTCTTTCGTCCCAAATTCGCCTGTGGGAGGACATGCGCGACCTTAGCCGAGGGGGGCGGCAGCAGATCGGTACGATCACGAAGAAGAGCAAAAACGCCGTAAGCATAATTTTTTGGCGCTCCGCGCGGATTTCCTGGATCCGCGCTGGGCTCCCCTGGGCGGCGCCTCAGGCGCCGCTCCTGGCGCGATCCGCGCGCCAGGGAGGGGGCGGTCCAGCGCAGATCCAAGAAATCCGCGCGGAGCGCCAAAAGTTTGTGTCAATGCCGTACTTTCTTCTTCTACGATCGGAAGGGGCACGGAACGACAGGCCCGGAGCTTCCGTCGGCGGCGAGCGAAGGGGGGGAAGCGATCAGGCGAAGGCCTTCTCGGAGGGCGGCGGGGCTTCTCGGAAGCCCTCTGGCCTTCTGGGAGGTCTCTTGTGTGTCTTCGGGGCAGGCTCGGCACACCTTTCAGACGTCCGGGGGACCTCCGAGCCTTCTGAGAGGGCCCGCCGCTTCTCACTTCCCCCCCGGCGCGCGCCGCCGATCAGTGTGCCCCCTCTCCCCTCCTCCCCTCCGCCCCCCCGGTCCGACCCCCCCCCCCGGATGCCCCCAGAGGCCCCAGGAGGAGGAGGAGGAGGAGGAGGAGGAGGAGGAGGAGGAGGAGGAGGAGGAGGAGGAGGAGGAGAGGAGGTGAGGGGAGAGGGAGGAGGGGGGAGGGAGGGAGGGAGGAGGGAAGGGAGGGAGGGATGGGAGGGAGGGAGGGAGGGAGGGAGGAGGAGGAGGAGGAGGAGGAGGAGGAGGAGGAGGCGCGCCGCCTACTCTGGTGCTGCAGTCTTTTCACCACGGGCGTCTTTGCCCCGTTTCGGGCCCCAGGGCCTTCACGCATCGATCGATATCAGGCTCGAAGCAGGACGCAGATAGACGGGGTCGTCCGGGAGCTCGGTCGTGATTCTTCACGGTGTTTCATTTTTAACAGCGTCGGTATCGCTGCGGACGTTGTAGATTGGAAGCAGAGGTTGCCCGCCCAACAGCGGTCGCTGTCCTTCTTGGACGACGTTGGTTCTCGGGCATCGTACTTTCTTTTTTCCGTACCCATTGCGGAATCTTGTTCCCAACCATCCTGTGGTGTTGGGTCCTCGTTTTGAAGAGACGTCGCCCCGCGTTCCTCCTCCTTCCTCCTCCCTCCTCCCCTTCATCATCATCATCATCATCATCATCATCATCATCATCATCATCATCATCGTCATCATCATCATCATCATCATCATCATCATCCTCATCGTCATCGTCATCGTCATCGTCATCGTCATCGTCATCGTCACCGTCACCGTCATCGTCATCGTCATCGTCATCGTCATCGTCATCGTCATCGTCATCGTCATCGTCATCGTCATCGTCATCATCGTCATCATCATCATCATCATCATCAGCATCATCGTCGTCGTCATCATCAACATCATCACACGTTTCGTTGCCCCATAGGGAGCTCCACCGAAGGTCCCAATGGCGCGGCTGGCATGCGTCTCCCCCCTCCAGTACAGCGTTTCGTGGCCCCATGGGGAGCGCCACCAAAGGTCCCCGTGGCGCAGTCCGCATGCGTCTCCCCCACCCAGTACAGCGTTTCGTGGCCCCATAGGGGCTCCGCCGAAGGTCCCAGTGGCACAGTCCGCATGCGTCCCCGCCACTCATTTCGGCCCACCCCTCACACGTTTCGTGGCCCCATAGGAGCTCCGCCGAAGGTCCCAATGGCACAGTCCGCATGCGTCCCCGCCACTCTTTTCGGCCCACCCCTCACACGTTTCGTGGCCCCATAGGAGCTCCGCCGAAGGTCCCAGTGGCACAGTCCGCATGCGTCCCCGCCACTCATGTCGGCCTGCCCCTCACACGTTTCGTGGCCCCATAGGAGCTCTGCCGACGGTCCCAGTGGCACAGTCCGCATGCGTCCCCGCCGCTCATGTCGGCCCACCCCTCATACGTTTCGTGGCCCCATAGGGGCTCCGCCGAAGGTCCCAGTGGCACAGTCCGCATGCGTCCCCGCCACTCATTTCGGCCCACCCCTCCCACGTTTCGTGGCCCCATAGGTGCTCCGCCGAAGGTCCCAGTGGCACAGTCCGCATGCGTCCCCGCCACTCATTTCGGCACACCCCTCGCACGTTTCGTGGCCCCAT